TGGAACTCGGAGCAAGTGCAGCAAAGGTCTCCCCTACACGGTTCTCTCTGAGTAGGAATCTTTCTCTCCTATAGAGTCTCTCTCAACGTTTGGTGTGAGGCTTCCAAATTTAAGAAAATCAGGTGGTGCCGACCCTAGCTTTCACCAGGGTCGGTCGCTGCTTCCCCCTTCTCTCTTTATCTTCTCTGTTCTTTGCTTCTATAGCTTTTTCCCCTACCTTTTTATCCCAATCTATTTTGTACCTCTTGCCCAGTTGGTATCCCTCCTCTTTGTTCATTCACATTCTGATTTTTAGCCATGCATGTTGTTGAGATCGTGCGTAGAGCTTCGGTGTTTACACCGGCTCGGGTGTTTCCAACACCACCACCTTCTCCTTGTTATTTTCCTTTACAAACAGTGTTGTTTGTGCGTTTCCACGGACTTCATCCTGATAGTTGGCTTTTTTCGATCAGTTGTTGGCTATCTTTTCTTTGTGGCTGTGCTTGGGAGGTAAATCAGGGTCGAATGCTACAATTGATGAGGCGATGCTCAGCTGTGGACGAGGAATTGGATGGATCGAGAATTACTATGGCGGTGGCGGTGGCGGATGCAGTAGATGTTTTTGGAGTTTGTAACTTCGTTTGTGTGTTTGGGCTTCAACTGTTGGTTGGCCCTTTTGTAGTTTGTTTATCTTGGCCCATTTTTTGCTTGTTTATATGTTAACTTTAGGCCTTTGGTTTGTTTATATGTATGTATTTAGTTTGTAATGACTTTTTTAAGGGTAATAACACCAACTTTATAAGTAAGAAATTAAGAGGCCTAATCTTATAAGTAAGAAATTAAGAGGGTAATAACCTCCCTCTATAAGTGCCTCTGTTCAATCCCAACCATGCTTAAAGTCACTGGGAGAAAAGGGTGATTTCTTACTAAGCTTATAGGAATCTTGTTGTAGGTTCAGCTCTACATTGTATTTGAATGATTCAAACGAATCAAACCATTTAATTTTTAGGTCCTTAAAAAAACACTCAAATTCAAAAACCTTTAAACCACTTAATGAAATGGTTGTTAGCTGAGTATTTTCTTGAAATACCTTTTTCGGCTATTTTTATATTATTAGTAGTTTTGGATTCATCCAACTTTTTGCATTATTAATCCAAGAAATAAGGCTTGAAAATTAAATAGCTTGGATCAATTGAAACAAATGAAGAGCGCCAGAAAGGTGTGTCTCAAATAAGTAAACCAAAAGGGTAGATAAAACGCGTTGCCAGCCAATACGTTACTGTGGTGTAGTGGTTATCACGTTAGTCTTACACACTAAAGGTCCCCAGTTCGATCCTGGGCAGCAACATAATTAATTAATATTTAATCATCCTTTTGATCCTCCTTCATTAGCCCCATATATGATACAAGTTTTACTTATATTTGTTATCTAAACACAATTATCTCAAGGTTGCTGTGGTGTAGTGGTTATCACGTTAGTCTTACACACTAAAGGTCTCCAGTTCGATCCTGGGCAGCAACATTTTAATTTATCACTTTTTGCCACATTTTTTTTTCCAGTGCATGTTTTGTACTTTCTCTTCTTTTACAAAAAAGAAAAGAAAACTGAACAACTTTTTACCCAAAAGTAGGGTCTTCTTGGGGTAAAAATTGAAGTCGTCCTAAGATTTGCTGAGAAGAAGAATTATCACTTGCGAGAAACAAATAATATTTCTTAGACGATACAGTGTTGAGTTTTCACCCATGCGTTTCTGATTCGAAACTCTCTCATCTCCTAAATTATTGTTATAGTTTTGAACTCTTTAATAAAAAATAAATATTTCCTAGAAGAAAACGGTTGACATAGAAAATGGAGGAAAAAGAATTTGCCCAAAAGTGGTACTTAATCAAATGTAAATGTAATGAACAACAAAAATACGTTGGCAGGTAAATCAGATTTATACATCTCTACCTTCGTTACATTACATTAACATTACTGCCTCCTTCCAATTGGTGCCTATATGAATGAAATACATGATGTTGATGGTACTTTGGCCATGTACATCCTGCACAAATACCTCAAAAAGGGAATTCTCCGCTCAAGTAGGTCCTCGAAAATGACTCCCGGAGGTGCTTATCCCTAGTTAGCAGAAACGATTACTCGCACTTTAGCAGTGACTTCTGGGTGAAGTTTCAGTTCTGCAATATACTCTCCTATCTCTCGAATATCTGGAAGCGACACAATGCGCTTGTCCACTTCCCTACGTATGAATGAAAGAACGGACATGGAGCAATCAGGGTGTGCTTGGAACAGATAAAATGACAAACACCGGCATGAAAGATTTGAATTGCAAAATATCACACCATTTGCGATCCACACATACACATAAAATTATCACAAACTTTTAAACTGCAAAATACACGAGCATACAATAAACTATCACAAGCTTTTTCTGTTTGGAAAAGTTTGGTTCCGGGGATATGTTTGCGAGGTCTTCTCGAGAAGTTTCTAACCATTTAAGCTAATGCATTAATATGAAATTCTCTCTCTTCTTGCTGCTTTTCCCTCTTTTTCTTTTGGGGGAGTTGCGGTTTAAAAGCAAAATTCTGCTGCTAGCCTGCAGTAGTTCTTAAGCGTAAAAGTATTGATGCTTGTGTTATGAAACTATATGGTATATATCATGCGGACAAAATTCAGATAACAATAACAGAGCTCGTGTGAAAATTGCGAATGATATATCGATCATACTCTTGATAAAAGATACTTACCTGTTCAGTTGTGCCTTGATTATGTCAACAAGATCTTGGGGGGTGACGCTACAGAAACATATCTCTGTTAAATTTCATATGCAGACAGTGCATGAAGTATTTAATGTCGCACTGAATACAACTCACCTTCCAAAAATTAACTTTCCTTTTCCACCTTTGCGCTTCACCTTGAAACCTCCAACAGTTTCAAAAATACGAGCAAGTTGCTCCGCCTCTTCTTTTACCTGCACCAGGATGAAATAATCATACAAGACATGATTGATAGGACGAATTCAGACAATATAGAATCTACTGCCAAGAGAGGTATCAAATGCATTTAGAATTGTTTTGGGTGTACAACACCACATAAAACACAATCAGCACAGAGCCAGAGTACATCCAAATCATATTTTAAATTTGAGCTAAAAATACATGAGTATGGCACCCAAAACAAAAGGAGAAAAAAAAAAGTGTTAATTACCCGTATTTTCTCTGCCTCAATCCTTTCCTCTTCCACCTTCATTTCCCTGAACAATTAAAATTATGAGTAATATGTTCTTAAGAGATATATAATTAATTTGGCACCCTAATTATTTTTCCCAAAAAACCAAAAAGTGTGAATGCCATTAGGTAATTTGATTTAACTCCCACCAAAACTTATGTTTATGCCTTACTGCATAATGTAGTCTTAGACACAAAACCCTTGTGTGACATGTCATCTATCAATGTTTAATGAGCAAAAGTTTACTTTCGGTGAATCATAATTTACATTACAAACATTTGTTTATTGGATAAAAACCATGTAGTTGTAACTTGTAACTTATAAATTAAGCAGGCTAATGGCTTGTGCAATCTAAGAAAACACATCAAGAAAAGAGGCATATTCACACAATAGGTGTTAAACCCTCTTTATGTCTATCTCTAGTTTAAATTTCTATCTGAAAACGTAAGAAACGAATTGCACCCAAGGACTGAGATGTTTCCAATTAATTTGCAGAAGCAACTAAAAAGCATAATAGTTATGCAAATAAAAGTTCACATTTTGATGCAGAGAACTTGAGAAGTAGTACTATTAGTACCTCACATTGATACAATATGAGCATGGATCAAACTCGAAGTAGGCGAATCGGCTGAACATTCAAATTTTGTGTCGAATTTATGAAAGAATTTCATAGTTGGTAGTATACACTAAAGGCAGTTTACATTAGAGAGCAGTTAACTATTGGTAATCAAGTCTCACCACAAACACCGATCGACATTTCATACATTACTTTCACAACTTGTATATGCCTCCTCTTTCCGTCTCATACATTATCTAATCAATTCCGTCAGCATTCTGCATAAGTTCTATCTTATGGTTTCCAACTAAAACTTTTCGTCATCAAACTAGTTTGACTCGTAAACGCAACACAACAGATTCACAAGTCTTATTGTAAACTTCAGATATGAAAATGTGAAACATAAAGTACAAGAAATTGACAAAAACAAATAAAGGGACTCGTTCCGAATGAGAAAATTCAGTCATGCATTACTTGAGCAGCAGGGGAGTGACAATCTGGGCTTTCCCCAATGGTAGCAGATAATTCCTGTAATAACCAGCTTTCACACTTAAAAGTTGCCCTTTCTTTCCCAGGTCAGTTATGTCCTCCTTTAGAATTATCTGAAACAATCAAACAACAACAACAACAACAATTAAATTAAACAACCCCACAATAATGCTACATTTAGTTCACTATTTTTCTTTGAATTTGTAAGAAAAAGAACATGTTTAGAAAAATAAATTGAGGTGGGTTCTTCCACTTTCGAATTCTGGAAGCAGAGAAACTATAAAAATTTAAACTTATGGGTAAACATAGAAATACCAGAGGAAGAGAACCCATTTCTTATATTTACCGTTCGAGCCTTCTTTGCTTTCTTCTGAGCGACAACCACCAATCCCGTTCTTCTATCTGACAATTTGGTAGCTTCGTTTGTGTTTCCCGCGAAGCTTTGAAGCCACGAGGAAGAACTCCACGACAGAGTCGATGCTGCGGATGCCATTGTCACTCTCTCTCTCTCCCGCTCACGCACAGAGAGTCTTAGGATTTATGGGCTTTCTATCTTATCTCTTTCGCCATTTGCCTCTGTTATGTTTCAGATGAAAAAATTTTCATCATGGCCAGTACAGCACCTGATTTTATTTTAAATTATTAAATTTTTAACACATATATTTTATTATTTGTATATTGACACGTAATGTAATATCTTATATTCCAATCACATTAAAAAATCTCTCGTTTCAAAGAACGGTTGTGTTTTGTTTGAATTTTGTAAAAGCTGAAAGGTTGTTTGATTGTATGCTTATCCAAGACGTGCTTCCTATATCTTCCCATAGAGCTCTAGCCTTTGATAAGGCCCATGTAACTCTTTCACTAACTTGAGATTAAGTCCTATTAATTTTTCAAGTATTATAATTTTACTATACATAATAGTTGTCCTTAACTTGTTTCTATGAATAATTTGTGCTTTTGCTTTCGACGGGGTATGATTGTTGTGCTTTTGCTTGTTGATGATGATTTTGCTTGAACTTGGTGTCGTAGAAAACTTATGAAAATTTACAAGGATTAAAGCAAGTGTTGAGCCATAAGTAATGTTTATATGAATTTGAGCTCTTAGATTATATAATAACAGTCCAAATAGCTGGGGTTGCATCTCCAACCCCATAATTAGCCTGAATGAATTTCTTCTTCTTCTTTAATTTTTAGGTAATACTTTTCAGTTATAGGTTGTTACCTAGTTGGCTGACTTCTCTCGCTGTTATTTTCAGTTACAAGTGTTACGCCCTAATCCCGACATACGTCCCGAATTGACACGTGACGTCATCAAAAATTCGTATCTATCATATCCCACCTCCGGGATATGGGCAAGCACAACTCAAAATCGAATCACATAGTTATTTTCGTATGCTTTATGGCTGCATCTAGCCTCCCTGTTAGACTGCCTACGTACCCTAAACAGGGATCAAGTCATTCGTAGTTCGTCATGCACAATAATTGACATATAACACACTCCAATTACGTCGAAAGGTATAACGTTTCTCAATCAATCAATAGAACTCGACAAGCATGAAATTACTTGACTCAGGGTTACATAACAACCCATCTGAAAATCATGATTTCCCCTCCATCAATATATAGGCAATTATGTTACAACATGATACCGCAATTCACAACATATATCATTTTCAAGAACCAACGATGTACAATACCATTCTCTAGCCACATTTATCAACGAGTCAAGTCATAACCATAACCATGGTATCCAACATATCAATCCCACGTGACGATTTACTTTTTCCACTTCAACCATCACATAATTCATCACGTTTTCCACATAAAATCGCATTTCATAGTGTGTAACATAGTTAAGAATTAACAAAGTACACATTAATCTCTAGAAGTATTAATCAACTAAAATACTCATGATGACCCCACTCATATCCAACGTCATTCCATAATCACCTCAATCAATAATGGCAACCATCACATCATCAATAACACATACAACAAGTCGAAACGCAAGGCTAGAGCAACACAATTCAGTTGAAGACTACATCTTTGGAAAAGGGGATTTTGGACCACCCAACGGACCAAGGCTCCAAAGGGGATTCCGGACCATCACTCAACGGAATCCAAACAGAACTCAGTTCCAATCCACCCAACCGAATTGAACGGAAGTCCATGAAACATAACAACGGCTCGAAGGAACAAGACATGATTCAAGTTACTCAATTCCCAAAGACTCAACGAAACGAAACAATATCGAGCAACAAATCCACATCACAATGGGTTATCGGCCAATTACTAGACCTCACATCTCCCAAGCAATTCAATATGCGTTTCAAACACATATCACAACCATTTCCAATACACAAGTCAAATCACATTTCACTTCATCATACTAATCACTATACTTCCAACATTATATTTCAATACATAGCTTGTAACATATCAAGGAATCACAAGTACAATATTAACATTTAATTACGTTAATCAATCAGTGAGATAACATATCATTTCACGAATTTAATTAAAGAACTCTACATAATTCCCAATTTGGGTTAAGAATAATAACATGGTAATTCTAATTTATTTTCACAATATCTATTGTGAGTAATTCCCATCTACTCGAATTTAGGATTCTAAATCACCTTACGGAATGAACAAGAGCAAGGATTCCGGACCACTCAACGGAACCAAAATATCAAGCGGTTTCTCATAATCTACCTAGACCTGTCATATGTTAAGTCAATGCCAATATTATGGAATTGGTGCACTGGCAATTCAGGCACTCAGATAAGCTGATAGGCTCGGGTGAGGGACAATAAAATAAGCATGTGATACAATAATAAAACCAGCCGTCAATCATAATTTATAAACCTTGAATATAAATCATTCATAAGAAATCAATACCAAACAATTAAAAACACCGAGGGAGTCACCCAAACATCCAAAAGTTCATTCCAAACAACCATAGCATCTCACATCCATATTCACATACACACAATGAAAGTAGAAGTAGGGCGACATAGTTCATCCAAAGCCTACACCTTTGCAACCATCTCAAACTAAACTCAATGAACTAAGGTGGATACAATCCCGGACCATCACTCAACGGGATCACGGAGTAAGAGGGATTCCGGACCATCACTCAACGGAACCCAAACAAAGATACGATTCCTGACCATCACTCAACGGAATCGCGGAGTGGAGTAGGAAGGATTCCGGACCATCACTCAACGGAATCGCAGAGTACATTGCATAACCACCAATCGATGAAACAACACATGAATCAAGTTACTCAAGTTATAAAGGCTCAACGAAACAAGAAATGAAATAATGAAACGAGCATTGACACATGTTTCAAAGCAACAAACCCCATGACAATGGGTTAACGGTCCACCACTAGCCCTCACCTCATCAAATCAAGCCAATCATACAAAATAAACCATATTTCCAATATGCACGTCAAATCCCACTTCATATAACTATATCATTGGCTAAATATGAAAATTAAAAATTTATAGGAAAATGATTATAAAGCCATTTCATATTCACACATATTAAAGTCACTCACATTTCATCATAACATACCATCTATGTAATTCAAATACCTTTCGAATATGCACGTCAATTCATATACCACGATCATCATCAGTACACAAGCCAAATCACGTTTGATAAACATAGGTCTATGGCTAAATATATATAAATATATATTTATATAATCACATTTCAATAGAATCACATTATAAGACCAAGTAAAATTCACAGATGATATCAATATAAGAAATCAAGATAATAACCATACCACATATGTTCAAGTCACTCTCTAACCAATGTAGACCCATTAGACTTCACTTAAGTCTCCCCTAGTACTAATTTTATTATTTAGAACGTTTCGAGACATGTTGACCACAATTCAACTCTCGGTCAACGATGGGGTCCACAACAATCCGCAAATCAGATTTATGATCCATAACTTCCCAAAGTCCACATTATGCTTCGAGGATAACATACTAAAGTTTCATTATGATCCAATGGTTGAATTGTCGTCAATCACACAAACAAGTGGCGGTCCAAATTGATCACCACACCCAACAATTGAATCTTTGGCAACCAAGCTAGACATAGGTTCACATGATCACTAGAGGGTATTTGAAACCTAGACAACACTCGTGAACGATCCCACGCACCTCCACACGCGGTGGAAGTCAAGGTGGAGGGTTTACAAACCCCGAATTTCAACATTAACTAGAGGAGCTCAAATTTACATGGTAGCTAGAGCTCAACAAGAGAAACACTTTTCACAACTAGGCCGACGATAAATTCTAACCGGAAACCGTCCAATTTCACCGGAGAAAACCGGATTTCTAGGTGTTCTAAACACCCAACTCTAAAACGAATACGAAAGCACAAACTAAGCATACCCATTTGAAGATTATAAAGAGTAGATGAAGTTTCATACCTCACTCGAAGGAAATCATTGCCGGAATCGCCGGAAAAATGATAAAACCGCCGGAAAAGTCGTGGACTTTGAGACCTCGAACTGCAAAGATGGAAAAAAAAAAAAGGAAAATCTAACATCACAGAGATGTAGGGCTCGCCAAGAGCTTTCCATGGACACCAAGATCATTCAAAACGGAGCTCGGATGAAAAAGATACAAGCGGGTCAAGTTTGGTGGGTTTATGGGTCAATTTCTCCCTAAAAACGGGTTAGGCAGCTCTTCACCCCCCCCCCCCCCCCACCATTTTTCCGAAAAACTCTCCCTTCTATCTGGAGGTTTCCCTCCCATTTAATTTATAGCAATTTGGTAATATTACCAAAATGCCACCAACTTTAAACGACTCTAACTTCTCCGTTCGGACTCGGAAATAAGATTTGTTTACGCCTACGCGCTCATGGAATCGAACTCTACCTAACCAATTCAAGAGTTGACCGAAAAGGTCGAGAAAATTAGAAATGACTAAAGTAACTCTCACTTCGTTTTTCTCAAATTTGGAGAAATAAAGAACTAGTTCCAATCAAACCTTCGAAATACGTCAAGAATAAAATAAAATAATAATTTTTGGGACGGGATATCACAACAAGTTTAAAATTTACTTCACTTACCTTGGATTTTGAGCTCTTAGAAGTTGTTATTCAAAATCCCAATGCACCTGCTATTCTCTTGACACCAATGTTTATTTTCTTCTCTTTTATTATGTAAGGATAAGATGAAGAAAAAGAAGGATGGAGTTAAAAGGAGAAAGTATTCAAGAAGCACCTGAGATAGTGATGGCGATATTTCAAATGACAATGGTACTTGTGTTGAAGTAAAGACCATGATATGGCTGATGACTTATATTATGTATTTTATTGTTGGTTTCAAACATGCACACAGTATACCTGTTTTGTTACCAACTCAACGCCTTAGAATCTTGTTAGCATCTCAATATGTTTAGAGGTGTTAGGATGCTTATGTTAGCTTTTGGGATATATACTTAGTGTATTTATTGGATGTAACCTAACTTATTGATCAATGAAATGTGATTAACCAAAGTATTGCCTCATATTTGTTATGAAATGTGTGTGTGTCCTAGGGTGTAACCTAACTTATTGACGCTTTCAATCTCACTTATCTTCAACCATAGCATTATAGGATCAGATTGGGTGATGATAAATTCCTCGCTTATGCATTTGTTATGTGACAAACTTATGGGTCACTGACTTCTGTGTTTTGTGACGCTTATTATGTCACAGTTAAAGTTATTAAGTGACGAATTTGGCATTACAAATACTAAAAATATGTGGCGAATGAAAAATTCGTCACTAAACTATAGGTGACTTAGTATATGTGATGAAAATAGTGACGCTGGATTTTCATCACATATAATCAAATGTGATGAATTTTCATGTTTATGTGACGAATGTCTGTCACCACCTAAGCCATGTCTTCTTGTAGTGTATCATGTTTCATTTAGATTAGTATTTTCCTTATTAATTATAACCCACATCATCAACCAAGTCATTTAATGTTTAAAACTCTTCACATCACTCTCAATGTAGACCGCTGAATGTTATAAAATCTAAATGCTACAAAGAAGTGTAAAAATATTTGTAAAAGTATTTGTCCCTTGATCCTATCCATGGTCTTAAATATAGATATTATCGGCGATATTTCGTCGATAATATCGTTTTTTTGAGAGGGGGGTATTTTCACACGTATCCACCTTATTTTCGTCAATATATCGGGATAATATCGGTAATATCGGGATAATATCGGTCATATCGGTAATATCGGGATAATATCGATAAAATAAACATAATAATTTAGTGTGTGTGTGTGTGGTGGTGTGTGTGTTATGATAAGTTACATAATATAATATATATATATATATATATAATATAAATCCCCTAAACGGGCCAACTTTTGAAACTTTTGACAACTTTTGACAAGACAAAATGTAGTGGTGGTTGGTTTTATACTCAAAACCGTGTGCCACTTCCAACTCTTTCACATTCAGAGTATCAGATCACCACACCTCTATTACACCTTTTCATTTCTTCTTCTTCCCTTAGCCCTTTCAGAGCCCTTTCAGAGCTTCAACACAAAGGGTTCCATATTTAAGGTAAGTTTACAAACTTATATTTATATTATTGTAATTTATACAACAACAAAAAAATTTGTGTGGACCCGTACATGTGATCTAAGAACCAAATAATACTTGCATGTTAATTTTTTGAAGTAATTAAGTAATGTTGTATAATTATTCCCTAGGATAATTTTAATATGTTTAATGTTATTTATTATTTTATTAATATTAGGTTTTTTCATTATCAAATTGGATTATTATTCATTAAATTGGATTATTATCAAATTGGATTATTCATTAAATTGGATTATTATTAAATTGGATTATTATCAAATTGAATTATTATTCATTAATATTAGGTTTTATTATTCCATATTATTTTTATAATTACTTAAATTCTTACAATCATTTTCTTTACTTCGTATTTAATTCTTCTGTAAAATAACTTTATTATTTAGGTTCTCTTATATAACCGTCATCACTACTATATTTTTTGGCCAAAAAATAATTGCCTAATTTCCATGAAAAATAAATATAGGTACGTTTAAGATGTCTAGTGGAGTTACTAAACGTGATCCAACTTGGGAACATGGAGACTCAATAGACGAAAACAAACATGACACAGTTTGCAAATATTGTGGTCGGGTAATGAAGAGTGGCGGAGTGACACGACTTAAGTACCATCTTAGTGGATTAGATCCAGGAAATAATGTCCAACGATGCGATAATGTCCCCCCCCCCCCCCACAAGAAGTGAAGGCATTCATCACCACATTATTAAAAAAATAAAAAACACCAGAAGGAAAAGAAAACACATGGAATGGAAAATATTCGAGCTGGGCTACGAGGAGAAGTCATTGGCCAAGCGGTTGACAATGATGATGATGATGATGACGATGAGGACGAATGTGATGATGACATAGGACCTGAAGAACGACGCAATTTCAAACAAGCATTACGTGCCTCCAAACAGTCAGCATGGGAAAGAGAACACCTTCATAAAATTCCTAATAGAGCACAAGGTTCTGGGACAAGTGGTGGTGCACAAATGAGATGGGGAGCAAGTGTTAGAGAATCACAACCAACACCACCAATAGCCCCAAGTTTATATAAGTCATCCAAAGCACGTCAAAAGAGTGTTTGGAGTTATTTCACTTGAGGTAATGTGAAGGAGGGAATGGGGCGTCTAATTAGCAAGTTCTTTATCTATGAAAATGTCCCTGCTGAGAAGGCATCATCACATCATTTCAAAAAATATGGTATTGGGATGTCAACAGGCCGGTGTTGGAGTACAACCTCCCACTCCCTATGAGGTAAGAAACAAATATTTGGAAATGGAGTATAAAGACATTGGCGAGTATGTTAACAAGTTGAGGTCAAAGTGGAAAACTAATGGTTGCACAATCATGTGTGACGGATAGATTGGCCCGACCAGATTGTCTATCATAAACTTCATGGTATACTCCAAGGGAAAGACAATTTTTTTGAAGTTCGTTGATGCTTCAGACCATATAAAGAACTACAAGTATATTTACAAATTATTGAGGGATGTAATCATGGAGGTGGGAGAGCATAATGTTGTCCAAGTCGTCACCCACAACGACTCTGCATTTGTCAAAGCTGGAAAAAAATTAATGAAGCATCATAATGTGTTTTGGACATCATGTGCAGCATATTGTATTGATCTCATGTTTGAGGCAATGGGGAAGAAAGAGAATATTGCTAATGTCATAAAAAGAGCTAGAACGATCATAAATTATATTTACAATCATGGTTGGTTGTTGGCAAAGATGCGTGAATTTTGCAAAGGAGAAATTATTCGTCCAGCTACCACTTGATTCGCCACCAACTATATTGCATTAGATAGCCTACTTAAGAAGAAAGCAGGGTTGAAGCAACTATTCACTAGTGACAATTGGGCCAACCACAATTTTAGCCACTCAAATGCAGGTCGTATGGTGGAAAGTATAGTGCTTGATCATGCTTTTTGGACTTAATCAGAACATGTGTCCCAACTATTTGAACCTCTTTACAAAGTTTTACGGATCTTTGACACAGAAGTGCATCCAACTATGGGGGCAACATATGAGTTGATGCGTGTAGTGAAGGAGGACTTGGAAAGAAAACATGGTGCAAGGTGGGTCATAAAGATAATTGATGACCGATGGTATAAAACATTATACCACGATTTGCATGCAGCAGGTATAAATTATGTCATAATTTGCAATTCATTTCTTTAGCTGCATAAGTATTATTTCTCTTATTAGAGTATGTGTTTCTTTGAATAGCATATTATTTGAATCCTCGATACCAATACAGACCCGGTGTTGGAGATGATGGTACCCTTATACGTGTTGTACATAATGTATACTCTAAATTAGACCCTGCATCACCAGCAGTTGGCCAATTTGTACACAATTACTTAAATTATAATAATTACATTGTTGGATTAAACTAACCCGATTTATTGAATTCAACTAACATGGTTTAAAGATGCAAGAAGAACTTTTGAAGAACCAACATCAATTGCTGCTCAAACAAAAATGTCTCCTAGTGAGTGTAAACATATTTCACTATCAATTTATAATAGAATTTGTTGGAGTTATTAGGCTTATCAACATTGTTTTTCATTATAGCTGAATGGTGGATCATGTATGGGACTGATCACCAACTGTGAGAAAGTTAGCAATCAAAGTATTATCACAAACAGCTTCTTCATCTGCTTGTGAAAGAAATTGGAGTACATTTGCACTCATACACACAAAGCAAAGAAATAGGTTGGCTCATAGTAGGTTGGAAAAATTAGTTTATTGCTACTACAAATGAAGCTTCAAATTCGAGATAAGAAAGCAGAAATAAATCATGTCAACCGTGGTGTCCCACTAGATGTGTTTGATATTTTTGTTGAAGATGATGATACAGATGGTAACCAACTTTATCAATGGATTAGACCTCTTCATTTAGATGATGATGAAAGCAACCCAGCTCTAAGAGTTGTTGAAAAAGCACGTAATGAAGGGATAAATGTAGAAAGAGTATTAGAGGAGGAGGTGGGATCTAGCAGCGCTGACTCTTTTGAAGAACTTTTACGCCCAAGACCAAGAAACACTGGAATTCCACCTTCTTCCAATCCTACACAACCACAAGATCCTGCTGATACTAATGATAGCTCTAGTACAAGATCAGGAGACTCACCTGCCACCGGAGGTGGGAATGATGAAGGATATAGTGGAGCTAGAGGTAGTGGTGGATATGGAAACTATGTTGGACCACCTCCCGGATTTATGAGCCCCTTCACTGATGAGGCAAACTTCACGCATGCAACACAAGATGAGAACCATGGCAGTAGGTGGGCAGGACCAGGAATTGGTGCCATAAGGAAAGACTATACTTGTAGAAAAAGAGGTAAGGGGACTCTGTCAAGTCAAGAAGTTGACTCGTTATTTATAACTTCGGACTCTGTTGAAGTGAGAAGTAGTCTATGGTTATACTCATAACCAACCATTTCCCTACCCTTCATATCCCATTCCTGTTGGGATGGAATTGAGCGACTCATGGAAAGAATCTGAGACTTAATCTTTAAATGATTTTGCTTATGGACAACGTCAACCAATCTCGGATCCATATGGATGGCATGTTAACAATTACATGCAAAACTATTTTGGGGATTTATCATTTGATGACTACTCTTCACAATACACTTACACATAGAGATGATGAAGATAGTAAAAATTTTGAACCTCATAGGAACTCTATGTGGTACTAAGTCACTTATGTATCTTACCATGCAATGTATGAAGTGTAAAATATTGTACTAATTCATTATATATAAATGGTTATGGTGTGTTTAAACTTCTTTCATTAATTACTACATATTTTCTACACTCACAATGTTTGCCAACTCGCTATATAATCAACTTAAATCAGTTAAATCCATCATGCAATACATTTCCTTCCAATTTTTTGT